ATTGTAAAAGGACAAAAACATATGTAGGTATTGTTAAATTTTACTACTTACCTGTGAAAAGTATATTTTTGTTATTTATCACGGTTTCATTAGAACCCGTCAATTTTTGTAACAAATATTAGCAACACTTATAAACATTAGTTGATTAATTTGTAAACAAATATTTGATATGAACACCAAAAAACCTGTTCCGTAGAACAACTACATCTATAAATCTCTGCCCTCAGAATTTAACTAGACGTATGATTCGCCTTTTATATTAATTTTTTTAAATCACTTTAACAATATTTTTTTTTAATTCTTCAAAAAACTTATTTTAAACCATGTATATCCCGATAAATTTGATATAGTCCTGTATACAACATGATATTTATACCCTCCACCACCATCAGTGGTGATAGAGTGTATATATAAGTTTGTCGTTCCGTGTGTAACACCAAGAAATATTCATCTAAGACCCAACAAAGTATATATATTTTGGGTCCTTATGAAATTCTGAGTCGATTTAGCTTTGTCCGTCTGTCTGTCTGTCTGTCTGTGTAAAACACGATCACGTTAAAACTAAGCAAAATATTTGTTATTATCCTAAGCAGTTTGGTATTGAAAATCAGCAAAATCGGTTCAACGAAAATCACTTAAAAACACATATTTCATTGTCAAATAAAGCTATCTTGATAAAATTTGACACAAAAATGTTTTGTCTTTGTATGAGTCACTCATAATTGGTCATAGCTCCCATATAAGGGAGCCCGTGGGGCACATTCGCCAAATATATGTAATGCTTGTGATGTAGAACAAAATTCGTTTAAAATATAGAAAAAATCAATAATGATTTGTTTTAATTTTTTTGTTAAGTTATGTGAAATAAACAATAAATATCTGGTTTATTACACTTTGTTTAATGAATTAAAATATAAAACAGACCCATCCTCTTAGCGTATTTACCCCATGGATGGGGCGGTATGCCGTTTTTGGTCAGTTCAGAAGGTATATTTATGAAAATCACTTAGTTAGTTAGTTAGTTTGAAAGGAGGATGTACATATATACATCAAATCCGAAGAAATACACCTAAAAAAAAATCACTTAATACCACTTAATTTGTTATTAGATGATTATATCCGGATAAAATTTAAATGTGGATGAGCTGCGAATTTAAATGAAACGAGACTTGTTGATGGTTTAAAACAAGTATGCAGACTGATCTGCTTGCTTTATTGCATTATCTTATATACTTATTCTTATTGATATTCTTATTCTTATTGCTGTTCTTATGTTTCTTATTATTTATGCTTCTTATTATAATTCTCTTCTAAGCTACAACTACATAACTACATTATTAACAGTGGGTCATATAAGTTTCCTTACACCTCCCTTCTTAAAGAAAAAAAAAATGTTGAATCAAAACAGGTGATCAATCTGTGTTTGGTTCAAGATTTTTTTTATATATATATAAAAATTATTATAAAAATTATTTATTATGTTTAATTTTATAATTTTTTGTATAAGTATAAAAGTAAAGGTAAAAATATTATAGAATTTACAAAAGTTCTAGTATTTACAGTATTTCAAAATTTGCTTTTGGTAAACAAAAAAATAAGTTTTTTAAAAGAAATAATTAATGTTTAAAGTTTAAATCTTTAGGCATAACAGCATTTCTTCCAAAAACTAGCTCATAAGGTGTAAATTTGTTGTCAAAAACAGAACTTGAAGTTGTATTATGAAAAAATGAGAAATATTTTAAATATGTATCCCAGTCCGAATGATTTTCACTAATATATGCTCTTAAATATTCATTAAAAACTCTATGGTTTCGTTCTACCGTCCCTACTGTTTGATGATGGTAGGCTGTTGAAAAATTTAAATCAATATCCAAGAGTTTGCATAATTCAGTAAAAATTTCGTTCTTAAATTCGGTTCCTAAATCGGTTTTCAAGGTTTTCATTCTTCCATATATCAAAATAAAGTTTTCAAAAATTGCTTGAGCTATAGTTTTCGCACTTTTATCAGGTATTGGTATACTAACAAGATATTTTGTAAAATCACAAATTAAAGTTAATGCATATTTATTTTCATATTTAGAAGTAGGCAAAGGACCAATTGTATCTAATACTACTATATCAAAAGGTTTTACAGGGGTTGGTGTTATTGTAAGTGTCCCAATTCTTACTTTATTTAAATTACATTTTTCACATTTTTTAACAAATGAAGCAATATCTTTCTTCATATTTTTCCAATAATATTTTGTCCTAAGCTTTGCATATAGTCTTTTACGACCACAATGTCCTCCTACAATTGGATCACTATGATACATTTCTAACAGTTTTTCCCTTGTCCTTCTATCCTTTATTTTCTCTATTGGATCAACTAACATAATTTCCAGCGATGTTAATACTTTGTTACCATGGTTTTTAAAATCTTGAATTGAACATATCGAAAAAAATGGATCATTTTTTGACCATTCTGCTGTGTAAATATTATTATTGTTGGCACTTTTCTGAAGCCTCAAAAGCATCTCACCAAAGTTTGATGTTTCGTTAACAAAACTAACATTTACTATGCATTTAAATTTATTATACATTCTTATTTTGATGTTCGTTACTTCATCATTCTTATAAAATATTTCAGACTTTATCTTTGCAACTTTTTTATTGAATTCATGTGAAAATTTATCGTATTCTTTCAAATTATCAACTTTATCATCTTTTAAGTTTGTTTTATTTACGTCAGGTTTTTTGGACATCGCGCGCGTTGTTACTGCTAAAATGCTTTTATCTCCATTGTTTTTCAGTTCGTCAACCGAAATTCGTGATAAAGCATCAGCTCCGACGTTATTTTTTCCTTTTATATGTTCAATAGAGAAGTTGTATTCTGATAGTTTAAGTCTTATATTTGTAAGTTTGGAGGATGGATCTTTCATATTAAAAAGATAAACTAAGGGCCTATGATCTGATCTGACTACAAATTTGGTTCCGTAAACATATGGTCTAAACTGATTTATTGAAAAGTATATTGCGATAAGTTCTTGTTCTATAGTAGGTTTCTTTTGCTCTGAACGATTAAATGCCTTAGATGCATAATATATTGGTAAATCATGACCTGAAAAGTTTTGACTAAGTATTGCTCCACAACCAACTTTTGAAGCATCGACAGTTATTAAAAATTCCTTTGAAAAATCTGGGTATTGTAAAATTCTTGGTGAAATTAACTCTGATTTGATTTTCTCGAACGATTTTTGGCATTTTTCATCCCATACGAAGCTCACTTTTTTACGAGTTATATTGTTTAATGGACTTACAATTGACGCAAAATTAGGTATAAACCTTCGATAATAATTTGCAAATGCAACAAAACGTTTAACGGCATCCTTATCAGATGGAACTGTGTACTTTTCTATAGCCACTATCTTATTATCATCGGGTAACAGTCCCTTTGAAGTACATCTATGACCTAGAAATGTGACTTCGGGTTTGAAAAGCATTTGTAGGGATTTATTTTTAGGTTAAATTTTCTCAGAATGTCAAATACGTTTGTTAAGTTTTTTAAATGATGTTGTTTGCTGCAGCCAATTACAATGATATCATCAATGTACAAAAACGCTTTATTAGGTTCAAGACCAGAAAATGCTATTGACATCATCCTGGAAAACGAATTTGGAGCTACGTTTAGTCCAAAAGGTAAAACTTTCCACCGAAATGCACCTTGATCTGTACTAAATTATGTTAAATCTCTTGAATCCTCGTGCAGGGGAATTTGATGAAAACCAGAAAATAAGTCAATAATAGAAAAATATTTAGCTCGGCCAAGATTGTCGAGTATATCGTCAATCCTAGCCAAAGGAAATTTATCAGCGATTAGCTTTTTATTAATGGCTCTGAAATCTACACACATTCTATAAGATTTGCTATCATTTGGACTCTTTTTCGGCACTAAGATCAATGGACTGTTATAATTTGAGGTACTTGGTTCAATTAAGTCGTTTTCGAGTAGATTTTGAACTTGACGTTTTATTTCACTTCTCTGGGTATATGGTAGACGATAATTTTTAATATAGACTGGCTCGCTATCTTTTAGTCTTAATTTTTGTTCGTAAAAGTTATTTATTGTCATCTTATCTTCCTTTAGAGTGAAAATATCTGCATATTCCTCGCATAATGGCATTAAATCATCTTTTATATAGTTTGGCATTTTGTCAGTTAAAACTGTTTCTAAGTTTTTAGACCTTTCACTGCAAACAGATGTTTTGTTTATAGAATAGATGTAATAGTCAGAAAGCTTTTCTGTCTTTACATTACAACTGTTTACAAATTTCGTTTCGTCTGTGGTATTTAGTATACGTAAAACTGGATTATCTGACGTCACAATACTTTTACTAACAAATACGCCTTTACAAATTTCCTGGCAATCGACAAAAACTGGCTCAGCTATGTTTTCCAATCTAAATTCTCTAAAAACTTCACATCTTGGTGGAACGACAAATAAATGTTCTCTAGTACCGTGAAAAATTGGAATTACTACTCTTTTGTTTATTTTCGGAACATAAAATGAAATTGTCATCGAACTGTAATCAATATTGCATTTATTATTCTTCAAAAAGTCCTTCCCCAATATACCATCTGAGGGAATATTGAAATTATCAGCTACTATATGAAAAACTTGAGGTATTGTGTTATTAGAAATGATCAGTTTTGTGTTAATTGTACCTAACGATGTCGTAGTATTAGTTGTTATACCAACAATGTTAATAGTATTTTGGTCATTTATCTCCACATTAGATCTTAAACAAGACAATTTGAGAACTGATATATCGGCCTGTGAATCAACTAAAAATGTATTTGTTCTATGTGTTGATGAACAATATAAACTTATGAAATCAGAATAATTTAAATTAAAACTATATATGGATTTTGTGACATTATTGATAAAATTTGGATTATTTGGAACATTTCTCCTAATTACATTTCCTCCTCCCTCAACATCTCGTGCTGAGGGGCCTGCGCGTTTAAAGTCCCCGAAAAGTATTGTAATTATATAAATTATTATTCTGATTACGGTATGCATTGTTCTGACGATACGAATTATTGCGACTACTATATGAATTATTCCGACCTCGATATGAACTATTATGACCACGATATCCATTATTTCTATTATTTTGATTATTTCGAATAAATGACGATTTGTTCCTATGTCCCATTGTCAAAACCTGATATTCCTTTTGATTTGTGGATTCCACTATTATCAATTTCGCAACCACATCCTTCGGTTCTTTGAAAACTGTTGATGATAAAATAGCCTTAACCATGTCCGACTTAGCATTATTTCTGCATATAGAAACCGTCTGTTCTATTGCCATTTCCTGTGCCTTTTCCTTTGTTATACCCTCTATTACAAGAGAACGTTGTAATGCATCTGCTAAATCTTCTACTGTTTTCGAAAAATCTGCATAACTATTATTTTTTATATGTAAGGCTGCAATTCTACCGGCAATAACCTTCGAATTATCGGGTTTGATCCTATCTTTAAGAGTGTTTTTGATCTGTTCAACGCTTGTTATGTTCTCTGGTAAAACTTCTCTTGCCTTTCCGTCTAATTTCGATTTTATGAATGAAATGAGACAGTTTATCAAATTTGGTGCAGTAAGCTCTTCAATTAAATTGATCTTATCTATGAAGGAGTTTAAACTAAGGGGATTACCGTCAAAATTTTCCCTAATTATATTGGCGCACATCGAGATAAACTTAGTTTTTTCTTCTATGGAAGTCATTTTGAAACCGCTTATATTTACAATATCTGTATCTTTTGAATCTGTAATATATTCTTCTGTGTCTGTTTCAGTACTTTCCTCAGATTTTTCCGTATAGTCTCGACTTTCACCTAAGTCTGTGATTACCTCTTTTCGTATAAGTTCGAACAAATTTTCACCATATGGTACCCTAATATTGCATTTCAATTTACAAAAGCATCTGACTAACAATTCCCTACAAATTAAAATTTTCTCATGAACCTTATTTTTCAAATTATCAGGTAATTGTTCATTATATTCTAATGTGTATATCAAAATATTATTGTAGGTTTCAATAAGTAAATTAGTATATTCTTCGATTTTACATTGTTTTGACGAAATTGGCCTATTTTGCAAAATTCTTCTTTTTATTTTATAGAAATTTGAAATTAGTTTATTAAATAAATCGTTTTGAAAATTAGACATTAAAAAATATTTCTGTATTTTTCATTTCATGTAAAATGTTTCTTTGAAATTATTTCATTAAATGTTTTCTTTCTGTTTCTTTGATAAATTGTAAAATTAATTGTATAGGAATGTATTTTTATTTATTTTATTTTTATATTTTCTTTTCCTTAGATTTGTATTTTTCTTTATCCATTCAAATTAAAATATTTTTTTTTTTTTTTTTACTTTTTTCCATTTTTATAAATTTTTTAATTTTTATTCTCTTTTTATTTATTTTAATTTATATACATATGTAATAAATTATATATAATAATTATATTAAATATATATATATTATAAGTAATGTTTTACTACAATAAAATATAATTTTATAAGAAAGTTTTACTATAATTTTGTTCTGTGCAATAATCATATGTATATTATAAAACAAGTTAGAGTGCTATATTCGGCTGAGCCGAATCTTAAATACCCTCCACCAGCTACTTTTATATTAATACTTTTCTAATTGATCAAATATTTGTAGAAATAAGTTTTGTCATATCTTAAATAGAAAAATCCCTAGATTCAAACAGCTCAAATCTAATACAATTCCAAGATTTATTGAACATTACCAACGCTTGGCGATTTTTATTAATTTGCATGTATGCATGTGTGTGAAAGATTTAAGGATTTTCAAAATACATATATATATTTTTTTTCTACACAAATTGATAATGCAACTAGTTAAATACGGTTTTAGGGGCAGGACCTAGTATGGGAGATATGACCAATTATAGACCGATCGTAAAAAATTCTTTAAGCAAAACTTCTGGACATGAAAGCTATATTTCAGTAAAATTTTGTATCTATATCGTAATTTAGTAATAAGTAATGTGTGTTATGAACCGATCGTGCAAAAATCTTGAAATAGAATTTTTGTATCAATAGCTTTATTTGGTAATGAGTAATGTGCATTTAAGAGATTTTCGAATAACTTGATTTAGAAATGAATTATTTGCGTTTAAGTTATTTTCGGGAGGGGACCTTGTATGGGAGCTATGTCCAATTATGGACCGATCAAGAACATTTTTTCTCTGAATGAATTCTATTGATATAAGATTTTTATTTGTAAAATTTTGTAAAGATTTCGACATTGTGACGGAAGTTATTAACAAAAAACCCATTTTCCGGGAATATGTACTTTTGTATGGGAGGTATATGAAATTGTGGACCGATTCTGGCAATTTTAAGCAGGAGTCAAGCTCTTGTGTAGAAACGAATGTATGCTGATGTTTATGGAATTATCTTTCATAGTTTTCGAGAAAATTACACCAGAATGTGTAAAAAATGCTTATTTTTTTCGAGGTTGTTTCAAATTTTGATTCATAACTTTTCCCGGTCAGAACCGATTTTGCTCATTTTCAATACCAAACTGCCTAGGACAATAATAAATATTTTGGGTGAATTTCGTTAATTTTTGTTGCTTCGTGTTAACGTGAGAATGTTTTATACAGACAGACAGACAGACGGACATAGCTAAATCGACTCAGAATTTCATAAGGTCCAAGAATATATATACTTTGTTGGGTCTCAGATGAATATTTCTTGGTGTTACACACGGAATGACAAAGTTATATATACCCTCTATCACCACTGATGGTGGTGGGGGGTATAATAAATTCGTAAATAAGATACCAGCCTGTTGAGAAGTCAATAATGATTGTGAAGATGTAGTAGATGAAGTTTATGATGATGTTGTTTCAGCGACGATTCCCTTCAAACATTTAGAAGACAAAACTATTGCGCATCACCCCAGACGCCACGTCAGAAACACTTCTGGACGATTGTCAGACGAGAACGCACATTTTACAAAAACAAAATACATTGATTTCGAATTTTCGTCTTCTAGAAATATACTTTTAAGTTACTTCCGGATGATCGTTAGAAGAGTGCATCCATTTTGCTTAAACAAAAAACCATGACTGTTGAATTTTTTTCATCTGGAAGTATACGATTTTGTGACTTCTGTATGAGAGTTGGGTGAGAACATACATTTTACAATAACAAAATACATTGTTTCCTAATTTGTATCTTCTTGATTTGTATGTTTTTGTCACTTCTGGAAGACAGTTTGAAGAGTGTTCACATTAATGTTGTATTTTATTCATCTGGAAGTGTGGATTGTAGTCACTTCTGGACGATTGTCAGACGAGAGCACACATTTTACAAAAACAAAATACATTGATTTCTAGTTTTCGCCGTCTGGTAGTATTCTTTTAGGTTACTTCCGGATGATAGTAAAAAGAGTACAAAAACAAAAAAATATAAATACTCCATTTTTTAGCGTGAACGCGAAAAAAATAAAAATAAATAATGCAGAAATTTTGCTAAGTTCAGTGATGTTTTGTGTTTTGTCCAGTCATGTTCAGTTTTAATTATTCATTGTAAAACTTAAATGAGTTATTGAATTTAATGTTCATAGAAAAATAGTGTAATTAATATATTGTGAATCTTAAGTAATAAAAAACAATATGACAGTGTTGTGTTAAAAGTCAACTGTTAATAAACATTTAAGAAGGTTTTGTTAATTGGCGAAGTTTATTAAATATATACCAAAAAGTAATTATCTTCAAGGATTATATAAATAAAATTAAAAAGTAAGTTGTCATATTTTGCATTAAAATACTATTTTAGGAATAAGTCAACAACTCTAAACGGCTTCCATTTCCATTATTTTTAAACGAAGTCTAATATGTTTAATTAAAAATGTTTTTATATTAAATTTCGTCTTTCTCTTAATTGGTTTAAGAGTTATAAGCATTTAGAGACTTTTTCAAGTTGTACGTTTCGGCTTTCATTTGATGGACATTGCATTTTTAACCTATTTAGATTTATTTGAGTTAAATCTTAACTTTCAATATTTTATAAACTATTTGCGCGTTTAGGTTTTGTTTCTAGATTACGTATGATCACTTTGAGCTAAAATTTTATTTGTATTTCATTATCGTAACAAAAACAAAATACATTAAGATTTTTACTTAAAGTATTCAAACCCTATCTGGAATCATTATATTGAAATTAATACTACTAATTTATACATACATTATTTTTTGACTTGGGTCACTCGACACGAAATTGCCCATATAAGATAATTAATATTGAAATCAGATATCTTTAAACCCACCTTTTTTAAATAAATACAATTTTATTAATTTTCATATAGCTTTGGATTTAATTATTATAATTATAGGTACTTTTTTAGTTATTAACATCAGGTCTTTCTATGACCTATCATATGATACTAATATTCTTAATATTGAGCATGCCGTTCCCAAGATATTAAACCTAAGTAGATAGTTTTTGAACGTGTATAACTCCTTAATTAGAAGAGAGCAAACAAAAAATAGTATTGCAGTATTAGTGTCAAAAACAATATCCCGTTTAGGGTCGTTAAGGTGTTTCTATCGTTAGTTATAATTTTAAAAATAATCCATGGCTTAGTAATTTCAGATCTTTATAGATGGTTTAATTCCAAGTTATTTAAAAAATGTTCATGAAAGGTAATGTTTTTATTGATTCAAAATAATAAATAAATTAATTAATTAATTTTTAATTATTTTATTTTTTTAGAAAGCAGTAGCTAATATTGTATCCCCTATTAAAATACTTCTAACCGAATTAAAATATAACAAAGGGATCTGGTAAGTTATATATGTCTTATTTCATCACGCGGTTCGATTATTTGCAGAAAAAGTAAAAAATGGATCTGACCGTTTAAACTTTGGTGGTAAATGTATTGGACATAAGAGAATCCTATTTTTATTGCTTCCTAAAGTATAACAGGTAATTTCAATAAATACAAAAGTATGTATATTCAATATTAATTATAGCATTATTTTGGTTTATTTTGTTGAAGGATTAATGCGTTCCAAAATATAAATCTTACAATTTGATGGATTGATCATAAAATTTATGAAGAACTACAAAAATATTTTAGAGTCCAACGTTTTACAATTTTTGGAAGTATACCAGTCAACAGTTGGAATATTAATACAGATTTCCTGAAAATTATCTATTATAAGGTAATAATTCTAAATTTTTGATACATATGTATGTACACTCCCACTCTGTATGGGAAGCAAAAACGTGTTTTTGTTACCCCTCTCAAAATTTACCTTGCTTTGTTTTATGATGATTCCCAAAATATTTTAAGTCTAGGGATGACCGTTCGTGAGCTGGACTAAATTAAAAAAAGGTATTTTGGAATTATTTTTTTTTAAATTTTTGTTTTGAAACAAAATATCCAATACGGTGTATCGTTTAAAAAGTATTTTAAAGCCGCGTCCAATGATGTATTAATCATAAATAACCGTCTGCTTATAATTGTCATATTCCAAAATATTTAAAATTGTTAAGTTTTTCACTAAGAAAAATAAAATGTATGCACAATTTTGCAAATTTTGCGCACCACTAGACTTGGCTTCAAAAAACTTTTCAAATGATACCACATACTGTATATATTGCTTAAGAACTGCTGTATAATTTAAAACAAAATAACTGAAAAGGGACTTTTTTGTAACCGGTTCAGCTCACGA